ACAGCATTCGCATTGAGGGTGTTTTCCTTTGTGATCCACGTTTTTTTTTTTTTTTTTTTTTTTTTTTTGTGATGGTTGTTCATGAGTCCCTTGAACAGTTTGTCCTGAACTGTTAAACTGCCCTCTGTTCTTCAGAAAAATCCTTCAGGTCCCATAAATTATTTGGTTTTCCAACATCTTTTGCATATTTGAACTCTTTCCAACAATGACTGTATGATCCATCTTTTCACACTGAGGACAACTGAGGGACTCATATGCAACTATTTCAGAAGGTTCAAATGATCACTAGTGCTCCAGAAGGAAAAACGATGCATTAAGAGCCTGGAGGTGTAAACTTTTTGAATTTGAAGATCAGGGTAAATTGAACTTATTTTGTCTTCTGGGAAACATGTAAGTATCTTCTGTAGCTTCTGAAAGACAGTACTAAATGGAAAAAAAAAAAAAGATATTTAGGCAAAATAACAAAATGTACACATCTTCGTTCTGTTCAAAAGTTTACACCCCCAGCTCTTAATGCATCGTGTTTCCTTCTTGCGCGTTTGAACCTTCTGTGATAGTTGTGTATGAGTTCCTCAGTTGTCCTCAGTGTGAAAAGATGGATCTCAAAATCATACAGTCATTGTTGGAAAGGGCTCAAATACGCAAAATATGCTGGAAAACCAAAGAATTTGTGGGACCTGAAGGAAGATCAGTAGGCAGTCTAACTGTTCAGGACAAACAAGGGACTCATGAACAACTATCACCAAAAAAAAAAAAACAGCTGTGGATCATCCAGGTAACAACACAGCATTAAAAACCAAGCGTATGTAAACTTTTGAACGGGGTCATTTTTATAAATTCATCTGTTATTTTCTCTTATGGACTATATGTAAACATCTTCTATGTGAAATATCTTATTCAGGTCAGTGCTAAATAAAAAATAACATTCATTTTGTATGATCCCTCTTATTTTGGTTAAATAAATTAAATTTTTCAGATACTGCAAAGTGTATGTAAAATTTTGACCACAACTGTAAATCACAAATATGATACACTTCCCATTACACATGATCTGTTGTGTATTTAAAAAAAAAAATATCATGGGCCTCATTCTTTAGAAAAATGTTTTTATGAATGTTTTACACACAAATTTTCATCATTGAGACCCATTGATCCTTGTAGAATTGGAGTGGTTTTATAAGACTTTATAACTTTTTTAAATGAAAGTATGTCATTTTCCTAAATAGGTATTTTGCTGTTGCTAGTAGTAACTCCTGCAGCACTGTCTTGTTGATTTGGAATGTGTTATTTGTACAGTTTCTGTTGTCCATCATGTAGTTCATTTTGTGGAGTAAGTGTAAACTGTGTGTTTGCATGTCTTTAAAAATGGCGTGTGCTGTTTCATATGGCATGTGTTCATCCAATCATTGTACATTTACACCACTGGTTGTTCCTACAGTGCTGGGTTAAACCCTACTCTGAAGTAGGAGCTAATTCAGTCCCTCCAAAAGGTGTTCCTAGAACTAACATCGTTCCCAGTTCCTTTGGTGTGAACATGCCAAAATGTGGCTACTTCCGGCAATAGTTCTAGGAACTCTGAAAACATTCCTCTGGTGTGAAAGCCCCTTTTGAGGCAGTTGATGATACTGTAGGTTTGTGTTTGATCAGTTGTGTCAGTGACCTGGAGGATGTTCCAATAGCACTTGTTAACTTAGTAGTTTTGTTCATGGTTACAGGCATGGGGGGGGGAAGTCGTGGCCTAATGGATAGAGAGTCGGACTCGTAACCCAAAGGTTGCGGGTTCGAGTCTCGTACCGGCAGGGATTGTAGGTGGGGGGGGTGAATGTACAGCGCTCTCTCCCACCTTCAATACGGTGAGGTGCCCTTGAGCAAGGCACCGAACCCCCAACTGCTCCCCGGGTGCCGCAGCAAAAAATGGCTGCCCACTGCTTTGGGTGTGTGTTCACGGTGTGTGTGCACTTTGGATGGGATAAATGCAGAGCACTAATTCCAAGTATGGGTCACCATACTTGGCCACATGTCACGTCACGTCATGTTCATATTTTCCTCTTTCTATATTTAAGTCTAGACTGACAACCTACATTACCTTGGGTGATATAGTGTAATGTCCACGTAGTCATAACAGTCGTGCCTAATGTGAATTTCAAGTTTTGCTGGTTCTAAGCTATTTGTATCAGGGAAGTTGGGTGTCAGAGTCTTACTGGTCTTGTCTTCAGACATGTGCCGTTCACGCAAAACTGATAAAGTGTGCAATTTCTGCACCACTAGCGTCATCAAGCAGTTTTTCAAACAGGTTTTAAGTACTAAATACTCCCCTGTCTTCTTTGGGACAAACAGGTAGTAAAACCCACAGCTGGGCACTGAAATAAACAAATAGTGGTACAGAAATTACACACTTCAGTCATTTGACTGAATGGCACACCTTTGAAAAGCACCTTTGATATCCAAGATTAAAATAGCTTAACTGTTAAAGAAGAAAAGAGCAGAAGTTTCTTCAGGGATGTTGCTTTCAAATCTGCGTTCCTCAGCTGGTGCTCATTTCTTTGAAGACATGTTGAATGCAGGTGGTTTGTGTTATTTTGTAGAGTGGAGCTGAGTTATGTCTTTTGATTTCACATTAAAATAACTTGTCAGATGGTACCCTTGCGAAAAATGAGTGTGCTTAATTCTATTGAATGTGCAATTGTAGTGTGCTTCAAATCTTAAAAGTATATTTTTAAGAAGCTGGACTTGCATTTGATATAATGAAATAAAAGGACACGTAAGATACTTTCATGACTATGTTTCTTAACACAGTTAAGTACACTTTTAAAAAGTGCACTATAATAATGCCAAATTATAAGTTTTACTTTAAAGTACATGGTAAATAATTATGTTTTTAATAATCTTTTGTCTTGCCTTGAAGAAATACAGTTAATGTGTTGACTAACATACTAATGCACATGTAAAGTACTTGATTATAATTTAACTGTAACATGCTATTTGATATTACATTTAAACTTAATATATTTTAAATGTACTAAATTGCAACTTCATTACAAATGTGTAATTTTAAATATATTTAAATCACAGAAGTTTTAATATGATATTAAATTATATTAAAGTATATTTTAGTTTACCATAAATGCTTGTCAGTACATTCGGCAGTACACTTTAACTTATTACAACACTTACAAAATATTTACAACAGAAGTAATTATGAAATTACATATAAAGATGTACTAAAGCCATACATAAGTGGGTCAAAAAAGCATTTTGATGGGGTTTAATGTAAATTTACACTATAATGCATTTTCATTTAATTGTAAAAAACATGCAGTTAAGTGTCCAAAAACATTACATTCAGTTCACACTGAAGTATATAACAAATAAAATATTTCATTTTTTTAGTAAGTTTTTTATTTTGATTGATGCTATTTTAAAATAATTTATTTAAATTTTACATTTTTATGATTTAATTAATTATTAGCTTTTCATTAAACTCACAAACCCCCTTACAATCCCCAGTTTGGGAAACCTTGACATAATATACTGTTTAATGCACTTCATGTTGTTAATTACAACGAATTTAATATTTTCTTACTCTTTGTATTTTTATATCAATATAGTACAAAATTATCCTATTTAAATCAATGTGATAAATGAGTTAGGTCAAAAGGTAGTCTGATTATATTACCTAAAACATGTAATGGTTTACGTTACTGACTACAATTTTTGTCATGAAATTTGGAATCAGTAACAGATTACAATTTGTAAGTAATCTACCCAGCATTGATAATAAGTACTCTTTCTATAAGTATGCTAAAATAAGTATACTTCTTTTCCAGAAGGATAGGCTTGCCAAAAAGCTAATGAATCCATTGAAATATCAGGTGCATGTTTTTCCAAAGAAGTCCAGGGAATCAGTTCATTGCAATGAGGCATGTATCTCTCTTTTTTTTAGGCTAACAAAGCTGTAGATTCTGCTGGAGATTCCTGACCATTGCGTCTTCGCGGCACACACTGCATCGCATCTCTTCTATATCACAAACCATCTTCATCATCCCACACCCAAAGTCATCATGACGACCTCTTCTTTACGGCGCCAGATGAAGAACATCGTGAACAACTACACGGATGCAGAGATCAAGGTCAGGGAGGCGACCTCCAACGATCCGTGGGGTCCTCCGACCTCGCTCTTGATGGAAATCGCAGACCTGACCTTCAACGTGGTGGCCTTGACCGAGGTCATGGGCATCATCTGGAAGAGGCTCAACGACCACGGCAAGAACTGGCGGCATGTCTACAAGGCCCTCACTCTGCTGGACTATCTGATCAAGTCAGGATCAGAGCGAGTGACCCAGCAGTGCAAGGAGAACATCTACGCCATCCAGACTCTGCGGGATTTCCAGTACATCGACCGGGACGGGCAGGACCAGGGCATGGGCATACGGGAAAAGTCCAAGCAGCTGGTGGCTCTGCTCAGGGACGACGAGCGGCTCAAGCAGGAGAGATCGCAGGCGCACAAGACTCGTGAGCGTGTGACGGGAACCAGCAGTGCCATGGGTTATGGATCTTTACCACCTCCCTATCCTGGACGTCACACCAGTCAGCCCAGCGTGGAAGTGCTGTATGGGGAAGAGCATGGCAGGGTGAGCCACTCACCTTCCTCTGTCAACTGTGAGTATGACTGTTCATATTGTTCATGAATGGCCAGGATATGTAGGTAAAAATTACACACTCATGGGGCAGTTGAATATTAAGTTATGCACAATAATTTAATAATTTACCATTGCCTTTTACTGTTTTGATAGAAATATAGTCTTGCTAGTGTGTGTATTGATCCAGAGATCAAGCCTGAAATGCAGTATTTGCTTATCCAAGTCAAAACTGAACCTATAACATTGTGATTAGATATGGCAAAAAACATGTTAACTGCAAGTTCAATAGTATATTGAGTTATGGGGTTTAGGTCAGCGGATAAATGGATCCAGATGAATTGGCATGGATCAACAATTTACTTTTAAGGAAGCACGATATTGAAATTCTTAAACTTATAATTTAGGCATCACAACATTATAATGTACATTATGAAAGTTCGTTTTCGAGTGTTAGATGAACATTTAAATATCCAATAGACCTTAGTCAGGTAAGGTTAGATGCCGAATAGAATTTAACCCGGATGAAAATGATTTTTTCGCCAACTCACAACTTTCAAAACTATTTTATGGAGGTTTTGTCTACTGAGAGTTCTTTTCAGAAAGACACTTCATCAGCTGAACAATTGGTATGAAATTGAAAAAAAAAAAAAACACTTTTAAGATTACAATTTTTAAGATTGTAATTTAAGATTACTTTTTAATTCAAGTGCACGTTCAAAATACAATTAAGCATATTTCTTTTTCACAAGGGATAGAGCACATTAAATATGGTAACAGGAAGCTTAAATGTGCTTGCTTGACATGCAAGAACAAATCTCATTGGATTTCCCTTTGAAGTTTTTGAAGCGTCAAAGTTTTGGGGTGAATGGACTTTGAGTGAAGGGACAGAAATCTCTCAGGATTCATTACAGAAATCTGTTCTGAAGGTGAATGAAAGTCATACAGGTTTGGAATGACAAGAAGATGCGTAAATGATGACAGAATGTTCATTTTTGGATGAACTATCCCTTAAATGTTTGTCAGGAGTGAGCACATATTTGTTTCACTTTGATTTCACTGAAATTAAGAGTACTTCCTTCCTTCACTGACTGAGGATTTGGAAATGGTTTTATAATCAATCAGCTGCTGAAGTTAACTTAACCAATGAGTAATCTATGTCAATAGTGACAAATTGTGTACACACACTGTTTACTTAGAGAGGTGTATCACACACTGCCTTGTGCTTTTAACCCAAATGCTTAATTCTTTTGGAAGTTCTACTTCCTCTTTTTTGTGAGAGTTTGATCCCTACGGTTTTAATGTGAAGTGCCTCATCCGTATAGATCTGATCACTTGATGCATGTGTAACTGTGGACCGGATATGCATCTACATTCTTCCCATGTTCAATCATTTACTCACTCTATGAAGCTCTTTTCTTACATGTATGTTAATTTTTGAAACCTTCAGGTTGATTTTTGTCTTTGAGCAATGCTGTTTTAAAGGGATAGTTCACTCAAAAATGACGGTTCTGCCATTTACTCAATCTCATGTCTTTCCAAACTGTATCTTTCACCTGTCGGACATACATGAAACTTTCACACAGAGAATTTTGACGCAGCTCGATTCCATACATCAATAGTTGCTTGCCTGCTGCCTGGCTTCTTCAGTTTGGCCCACAGTTTAGAAACTGAAACTGATGAGCTTTGAGCTGTGAAATCAATGGCATGTCAATACGCGTCAATAATAATAAATGCATCAACGATGTTATTCCTCTGCATATTTACAGAGAAAAACACAGTGAAACACAGAACATTTTCTGTTGTATTTTCTGCCTAATTGAATTCCTCACATATTTATAGAGCTGAATTCCAGTATACTGTATGCATGTGGGGAATGTGCCTCTACAGCATTTATCACTGCATTTACAGTGAATCTGCAGTCCGTTTATAGTGAAAATATACATATAAATATGGCATTAAATGTTGGGATAAGTAATTTTTTTTTTAAAGAAATTAATACTTTTATTCAGCAAGGATGCAATAAATTGTTTAAAAGTAAGTGACAACATTTATAATGTTACAAAAGATTTCTGTTTCAAATAAATTTGGTTCTTTTGAACACCAACTTTCTATTCTTGAAAGAATCCTGAAAAAAAAAAAAATGAGGCAGCACATTTTTATCAAATATATGCAGCCTTGGAGCGCTTAAGAGATTTCTACCAAAAACATTCAAACATTTCACTGACCCCAACTGGTGGTGTATATATGCAATTACTTTCTAATAATCCGCTTATCATGTAATTAATTTGATTAAAATTTGTAATTTGTGCAATTTTATAGTCATGTTTTTTTCTACATTCCAGGGTCTCTCTCATACAGTATGACAGACCACATATTCAGTTTCTACAAGGAACTCTTTGACATTCGATAATCTACTGAAATCAAACCTTTGATGACATAAGGAGCAGTGTGGTTTCACTTTTACTTAAAATAAACTGACATGTTTGTAATGATGCCAGGCATTTTGGGAAAGTACAGAAATTTCCCATCCTGTGTTTCCGTGGGTGCTTAGTGAAAAATATGTTAAAAAAGGGACAGTTCACCCAAAAATGAAAATTACCCCACAATTTACTCACCCTCAAGCCATCCTAGGTGTATATGACTTTCTTCTTTCAGACAAATCCAATCAGAGTTATATTAAAAAATGTCCTGGTTCTTCCAAGCTTTATAATGGCAGTGAGTGGGTGTCATTTTTCTAATAAAGCACATCCATCCATAATAAAAAATGCCCCACATGGCAAATGCATTGATTCGCTACAGGAGGACTTTATTCACCCCCCGGAGCCATTTGGGACACTTTTTATTATGGTTTGATTTGCTTTATTTGACGTCTTTTGGACTATTGAAAAATAACACCCATTCACTGCCATTATAAAGCTGGATGAACTATCCTTTTAATGGTCACCGTTTTCAGGGTTAGATGGTCATGAGCCTTGCAAAGAGTTGATGAAGTGAAAAGTTGTGATTTGTGCCACAGAGGTGCCAGTGGTCATGTGGAGTTGACCATATCTCTACACAAGTGCATTCCAGGCCAGATGCGGCCATTCAGAGCCACTGTAGTGGAAGTGATCACAACTGGAAAACAGCACTGCCAGTTTCTAGTACTTTCCTCTGTTCTGGTCCAGGGCTGTTTTCTCTGAGAAAGCAGTTTTTTCTTTTTCAAAAAAAAAAAAAAAAGAAAGAAAGAAAAAAAAAAGTATATATAGGCAAGGTTGTAATAAATAAATAAAATACAACAACAGGGTTTAATGTACAGACATGAAAATAACATGCATAATAGCATATATAATATTATATATTATTCCTTATACATAATAATAAAAATTAGTGATTCATTGAAATTACAAAAGTTTTAAATTTGATTAAAAAGTTGAATTTTTTTGTGAAACACTAAAACCAAAATTAAAGTATATAAGAAATATAATTGCACATAAGGCAGTTTTTATATCAACTTTTTAATTATATAATTATGTTTCTACTCCAGTTCATTGTTGAAATATAAACATTTAAACGGTGGCTGTAATAAAAACTTTCAATTCACATACATTAAATAATGAAAACAATGGATTATGTAAAAATATAATGAATATGTAATATAGACAATATATTTAGCAAAAAAAATTTCTAATTAATGTGTTTATGGACATTAAATTGCTTTTTGGATATAAATATAACGTTGTGTGACGTTGTTTATGTCTATCTGTGGCTGAAACACTGATTGAGGGATTGCATAAAACATGATACATTTCAATAAGTTGTACTGTTACCTTCTGATGTTCATTCATGTTTATTTCATGCTAGTAGTAAAGAGGAAGAGATGATTGGTTCATGTGCTGCTTGAACTGATGCGCTACAACGATCTGTCACGACACATGAAAAAGCATCAAAACCTCCAGTTATGGTTTGAAAGCTCAGACTTAGTTTCATATAAAAGTAACAAAGCACAAAGCTCATTGTGATTAACGTATCAGAGTTGCACTACAAATACTGTGTAGTCGAGCTTTATTCATGCATGAACTGAAAACGGCATAGATAAAAGATCTTGGTTGCCACGTGCCACAGATGGGTGAACTGCCAGATAA